TTCCTACGATACTGCCTTTTGCGATTCATACAAACAAGATCTATTTATACAAGCAAGATGAAAAGAAAGCTATGTACTTTTAGTCAATCTTAACATAAGCAAACGGCCCCCTTTTTTTTAAAGATTACAACAGCAGCAGCAATAATTATCATTACAGCACAAATTCTAAGAAAACACTCAAGGTTTACACAAAACCAACTAAATGAGACTCAACTCGGCAAGCAGCCGCTGTACATAACACACCAAACATACAGATATTTAAGGCAACAGAGTCGTTCAACAGACTGCTCAAGGACTACAACAAAGCTTTACACCACAAAACGAAGACACAAATGAAGAAATAGATGCAGACCCATCCAACACATTAGTTTAACATTCTGCAGGAGCATATTGTTTCCGAGCAAGATTACCGTCTCCATTCTACCATTGGTTTTTCTGCAGGGGAAAAAACAGTGATGTAAGAAAATCACGCAGAAATATATGATTCGTTTGATTCTTGGTGAAGGGTTAGTTGCACATGGACATCTTGCAGTATCGCCATTTGGAACTTATTACCCGTGTAGTTTGACATCGGTAGATAGAACCCCAGGGTGAAAATATTGAGTCTTCTACTCTAATAGAAAGGCAAAATTTTACTTTGACAAATAAGACTCCCCGAGGGTAAAAAGAGTCAAGAAATTTCAAGTCAGGAGGTCAAACAGCAAAAATCAAACTGCAGACTTATTTTAAGTCGCAAAACGTTGTATGTGCAATTAAATCTATAAGATCAAATAAAGCAAGGAGTTAACTGTAGAAGACCACACTAGACTCCTATAGAATCTCATATGGGAAGGATGGAGAACACAACGGTACACATTGAAGTTAGAGACTGCACTTATATATATTAATATGATTGCGCTGGTATTTTAAATGTTTTATCATGATGTTTACTTATTGCACTAATATATTGTATATTTGATTGGAATGGTGTAAAATTGACAGTGGGATACGCGTCATGTTTTCTTTTTCTCCCTAAATAAATGATTTTCTTTAAAGTGACATTTATAGGATTTGTTTTATATCAGCACAATTAATGAAATACGAAGAACAAGTGCTGTAACAGCTACAGTAACGCTGTCTAATTGTATGCTGATGCCCAAGAAAAGAAATCCAAAATGTAGAATAACTTGATGCGCCTGAAATCTATGCGAACATACACTAAAACAGTATCAAAGTATCACTTACGGAGAGAAAGAACTAAGACAAAAGTGCAGCACACATAAGATGCATAAGTTTTTCAGAATTTGTACCATTCCCATCACGAGAGGACAATAAAGATCTGTCACTCCTAATGCCCCCCTTGCCACTTGCTAGCAGTATTTTCTGCGTCCGTGGAGAATGAGAAGCCACCTTTCCATTTGTGGATGATGGCAGTGAATGTCTTCTGGTGCTACCATTCTTTTCTGCTGAATCGGAGCTAAGTCTTGGTGAATTTTGCCCTCTTAGTTTTGCCTTTGCAGATTCAGTTGCTTGCATATAGCTCGGTACTTTTGGAGTATTTTGTACACCATTTTCTGCATATTCTGACTTCGCTGAGAAGGAGGCCCTCCTCTTATTATTATTTTGGTTTTCACTGTAAGCTTGGTCTTCCTCTTTAACACTCAACTCCCCATTCATCACAGAAATATTTTCCTCCTTATCAATGCTGGGCAATGGATTCGATTCAAGAGCAGAAGGATCATCAACCAATTGATCAGTTTGCCCCTCTGTTGTGATAGATTTTGAAGCAGTTTCCAATACAGGCTCGGGTTCAGGAGTCAATGCGACTTCTTTCTTTGTCTTCTCTGAAGAATCATCAAATCCTTCTTGTGCGGAATCAGAAGGCTCTAGAATCAATGAAACTTCTTTCTTTGTATCAATTCCAACCTGCGACCTATCAATAGTCTCTGCATAGGAACTAGACACCTTCCTTAAGTTACGCTTAACCTTCTCGAGCTCAGACTGTGGATGGTCCTGCACTGAATCAGCAGAAGCTGTGGCTTTCTTCACATTCCTTTTAAGCTTCTCAGGCTCAATAGGGAGGTTGGATGAGATAGTGTCCATATTTGCTGGTGAATTTCTCCGAACACTGCGCTTTGATCTGCCTGATTCAGTCTCCATAGCATAACCACCTCTCCTTGGTTGGGGTTTTGATTCCACTGTCTTTTTTGGTTCAGATGGTGGTTTCCAGAAGTGGGAAAATGTCCACCGCTCCATCCAGCTAAAGACTGAATTGGGTTCACTTTGATCATACAGAATTTGAAGAGGCATGATGACCAATGAGGAAGAAAGAAGCTATAAAACAAGGGTAACCATGGTTAGTTATAATTAAAGTGCAAAAGGGGGAAAAACTCAACAGACCGATATGTTGAAAGGTGAAGTTACTAAAATGATAATTGTCCCCTCTATTTCTTGTGCAGTAAAGTAGAAGGGGATGCATGAAAATACCTTGCAAACAAATACATTTGAATATAGTTTGTCGTTTCTCGAATCCAGGTGTTTAGAAACCTGGAAAGCAATCAAGTAAAGTATTCGTTAAAAAGAAGAAGTGAGCCCAAAAGGGATGATGCATAAGATTATCTCAGTAATTTAACTGTCAGAGTTATTTCTGATTGCAGAAAGAAATAAACATCACTAAATTACTCGTCTCGTAACCAGCAAATTCCTTTCTAGATTATTAGGAACCAGCTATACAAATCCTTGTCAATCAGTTACAGCATATGTCCTGTTTATAGTAGCCCAAACGTCCCCTTAGATTGAATCAACCTATGAAGCACGGACACGCATAACATGAAGCTGTGTCGTGTCGTGTCCGTGTCGGACACACGTGTCGAACACACGTATCCTATGTATTTTTTAGGATTTGCCTCGTGTCGGCGTGTTGGATGGTCGTGTCGGATCCGTGTCCGTGCTACATAGGAATCAACCTTACAAATTAAGTAGTATTCCTATAAGACAGTTGCTATACCCTCTTGCAAGTTTACATAAATGTTACTTCAGAATTTGGGGACATATTTACAAGTTTTAGAGTAGGAGGGAGTGTTGGTGCAATTGCTCTTGAAAGCTACGACATTTTGGGAGAAGGTACTAGTGGGCTGTGTTATTCAGAAAAGGCACAGGATTCAGAAGCACACTTGCTAATTTTATCACTAATACTTTTCACCAATATGAATTATACAGCTTACCTTAATCATTTATATTCAAGACCAAAATCCCCCAGACATTCTACATGCTACATGTAAATCGATGCACAAATGACAATAATGTCATATGTAGGATTTATCTGCAAGTGGGTTAATTTAATGCTCTTGATAATTCTGGAGCGAGAACTTCAGCATTATTGGATTATGCTCCAAAAGGAATGTAATCAAGAAAACAAGTACAGGTGAGGTAGTGTCAGCATTACAGAGAAACTCAGATAGGACTGAATAGTTGAGTACCTACAAGGAAATAAAATCCTAATTATGGACAGGTGATTGATGTCAGCAAATTTACCATCCAAAGTCAGGACAGCAGATTTTAAGCACATTTAGATGGATGAACACAAAATAAAAAGTGGCAATGGATAAGAATATCGAGATATGTGGAAACTGCTGAAACAGAGGATACGAAGTCAGTACCTAAGTAAGTTGAAGTAGTTAGGATTAAGCATGTATAGATAATGATGGTAACATGAGAAGAAATCTGGTTGAGATGGTCAGAAAATGGACAACAAAGACCAGTGAACAAGGAAATAAAATCCTAATTATGGACCAGTGAATGATGTGAACGAATTTACCATCCAAAGTCAGGGCAGCAGATTAAAAGCACATTTAGATGGATGAACATGAAATAAAAGACACACGTGTCGAACACACGTATCCTATGTATTTTTTAGGATTTGCCTCGTGTCGGCGTGTTGGATGGTCGTGTCGGATCCGTGTCCGTGCTACATAGGAATCAACCTTACAAATTAAGTAGTATTCCTATAAGACAGTTGCTATACCCTCTTGCAAGTTTACATAAATGTTACTTCAGAATTTGGGGACATATTTACAAGTTTTAGAGTAGGAGGGAGTGTTGGTGCAATTGCTCTTGAAAGCTACGACATTTTGGGAGAAGGTACTAGTGGGCTGTGTTATTCAGAAAAGGCACAGGATTCAGAAGCACACTTGCTAATTTTATCACTAATACTTTTCACCAATATGAATTATACAGCTTACCTTAATCATTTATATTCAAGACCAAAATCCCCCAGACATTCTACATGCTACATGTAAATCGATGCACAAATGACAATAATGTCATATGTAGGATTTATCTGCAAGTGGGTTAATTTAATGCTCTTGATAATTCTGGAGCGAGAACTTCAGCATTATTGGATTATGCTCCAAAAGGAATGTAATCAAGAAAACAAGTACAGGTGAGGTAGTGTCAGCATTACAGAGAAACTCAGATAGGACTGAATAGTTGAGTACCTACAAGGAAATAAAATCCTAATTATGGACAGGTGATTGATGTCAGCAAATTTACCATCCAAAGTCAGGACAGCAGATTTTAAGCACATTTAGATGGATGAACACAAAATAAAAAGTGGCAATGGATAAGAATATCGAGATATGTGGAAACTGCTGAAACAGAGGATACGAAGTCAGTACCTAAGTAAGTTGAAGTAGTTAGGATTAAGCATGTATAGATAATGATGGTAACATGAGAAGAAATCTGGTTGAGATGGTCAGAAAATGGACAACAAAGACCAGTGAACAAGGAAATAAAATCCTAATTATGGACCAGTGAATGATGTGAACGAATTTACCATCCAAAGTCAGGGCAGCAGATTAAAAGCACATTTAGATGGATGAACATGAAATAAAAAGTGGCAATGGATGAGAATATTGAGAATTTGAGATATGTGGAAACTGCTGAAACACGGGATACAAAGTCAGTGCCTAAGTAAGTTGAAATAGTTAGGATTAAGCATGTATAAATAATGAGGGTAAAATGAGAAGAAATCCGGTTGAGATGGTCAGAAAATGGACAACAAAGACCAGTGAGCATGCCAATTAGAAGGGATAGGACTGTAGTTAATAAACCAGCTGAGATTTGTGGTAGACCTAAATAGAAATGGATAAGCAGCAAGGATTTGTGATTATTAATCTAAATTAACCATCCCTAGCTCAACTGTAGTGTGAAAGACAGTCAAGTATCATATCTCTTATGCTTCCATGTACTACGTCTGAAATTCCTTGTGGTCAAAATGTGCGAGAACTTAAAGTTCATAATAGGATCAGCAAGAATAAAAATTGAATTGACACAGTGTTGCAGTTGAGTACTATACCACGGCTTTTCCTTGAAGAAACTTAGTACTGACTTCAAGACCAAGACCAGAAGACCTGACTTTTTGACCACGAACAAGTGCTTGAAATTTTATGAGCCCTAACGTGGAGTGCAGCGTCACAATCGCTTGTCTCCTCACCAAATGGCCCCGAACTAACGCCTGGAGCTTTATGATGCCCTTTAGTGCATGAAATGCTCTGCGTGCCTGCAATAGGAATATAATTGTGTTATCAGTGTCTAAGCCAAGGTAGGCCATTCTCAGCAATACAAATTACATAAGTCAACTTTGACATAACCAATAACCTATCCTTACACATCAGAGGCTGGCAGTTATTAAAGGTTCAATCACACCATTAGTTAAAACTAAATGAGTATAGCGAATGAGCAAAAAAAGTTCTGATGAAAGAAACATATGTATCGGAATTTAAGAAGGTGAAATAGCAGTATGATAAGTGTGTCAGAAACATATTACAAGAGTTCTGATTATTTTTCCCACAGAAATACTATGAAGTCGGTGAAGAAACTACCAGAAAACCTCGGAAAACGGCCTGTGCCTTAATTGCAGCATGCTCTTCTCTGAGTTTTTCTGGGTTATTTGATTCAACATGACCTGCAGTACCTTGGTTCTCAGGGCCTTGAATAATTGGCACAATGGGTGATGTATCAGCACCCAAATTGGAAGAATTTCCCTTCTCCAATTCTCGGTTCACTCCACTATCGTGTGTACTGACAAGCACTGGTTCAGAAATCACTGGTGAACTCTCAGTAGAAGCAGGAGGCCCTTTAGATACAGCATATCCTCTGTCAATTCCAGATTTCTTCAAATAACAATTACAATGAAAGTTAGCAAAAGCCATAATAGAATGAAAATAAGGTAAACTAAGACAAGGTAGAGCACAATCTGTTGCTCTTTGAAAATTATCAGTATCGTTCTGGGACTAAAAATTGAAAGGAAAGTTATAGACACTCCATCAGACATATAAATAGTCGTTGAATAATAAGATTGAAATCTAAGTACAGTCCAAACAAGCAATGAGCAAAAAGTCTATGTTACCAAACTACTGAGGTGTTGGGCCATGAGAATAGATTGAAAATTTAGTAGATACTTTGCTGATAACTGCCATGTGCATGGCCATAAACAATTAAGTTTAGTTTTGATAGCTTTAGGTTACCCATAGTAACATACATCCTAAATCAAACTTTTCGGATCTGGATCCTCTCAAATTAGGCAGTAATTGGAGCGTGTCCAGTTACCCAGATCTCTATCGTTTATTCCTATTTCAAGGGCTAGGATGTGTCCAAGGTATACTTCCACAATTATCTTGAAAACAACTATTATGAAACCCACTTTTGCGTTAGAGAAAATCTTACATGGCCACGTCCTAGCGCTTGAGATTGAAATAGATGGTAAAGATTACGGTAACTGGACCCTCTCCAATTACCACCAAATTGGAGAGGATCCAAATACATGTGTTTGGTAATCCTCACCTAAGAATATAAGTATAGATGAGCAATAAGGGCAAATGAGACAACCTATTTTCCTCATTTATCATAATTCGGGAGATTTAAAAGACGATAATGCAGGTACCCTAACCCAACTATTCCTCGGTGAAATGTAGAGCAAATGCAAACGGATCTTGGATTCTTCAGTGATTTGTGAAGCTTTCATCCTTGTTCCATCTCGCAGTTAGATTGTTCTTATAGACTCCTATGGTTGAACGGTGACATTCACCAGGCCAATTAAAAAGCTACTTAAATTGGTTTTTCTTTCATGCCAAAACTATCTTACAAACTCAGTTCTCTGAATTTAATTGGAAATAGAATTCCAGATAGAGGTGGCTGAAACCAATATTTATAAAAAGCAGAAAGTGGATTGTTTCAAAGAAATACAACCTTTCACAATTCATCTATGGCAAATTGTCACTATGGCCCTTATCTTACGGTCAGAACTAGTTTTAGAATTGGCCTCCTAATTGGCATCGGAACTGGATTGCGTTGCTTTTTGTGCTGCTGATGGTGCATTATACGCCTAAAAGTTTATGGAATTATATGCAGTAAGCCATTAACTTGAGGTTTAGTTAACCAATGTTTCAAAGGGGACAAGGGATATCGGGGAGCAAGAGAGGCACTCAAGCAAACGATGCGTCTTAGTTGTCCCTATTCAGGCTACCAAGAGACAAATTAATCAATATAACAGTGTAACAATGCTTGACCCCAAGCACTTAAAACTCATACGCAGTCTTCATATGTAAACAGAATTTAGAACCCATGACCCAAAAAAGTCAGTAACTTACCTAATATTTCTTTTACCATCATTTGATGAAACACAACAAGAGATAGCTGTTACAACTAAAATATACATATGCTAGCACAGAACCAAGTGATTAACAAAAGCAAAAAACTACACATCCATTAATCTCCGCAACTGAAATGCATACCGATGCATTCCTCCCTTTCACACTGTTAGATCGAGCCCCCTTGTTCCGAAACAGCACCGCCTTGATCCATTTACCTGGAGATTTCCCCATCTCTCTCAAAACCCCAAAGATTTCAACACCTGAGAATCTTTGGCTTCAGCGCCTAAAACAAACCGCAACATAAATAATCAGCATTACAAAATAACCAAGAAAACATTGCAATTCATGACGTCAGCAAGCTAAAAAAACCACTCATTTCACAAGTCCTAACTCTAAATATCCAATCTTAAACCTTAAACCTCCTAAAAACACTTCCAATCAAACCGAAACTTCAACTCGTTGAAATCCACAGCTCAACACAGCAGAAGAGTGTCAAATGAACTAAATCCAAGCCCAAAACCTAGGGCTTCAGATCCTAAAACAACAAGATCTCAGCATAAATAGTCAACGTTACAAAATAACAAGAAAAAATCGCAGCTCATACCGTTAAAAAAGCTAAAAAATCAGTTCACAAGCCTTAACCCTAAGCAAAAACACTCCAAATCAAATTGAAACCTCAACGCATTGAGATCCACAGCTGAATCAAGGCAGAACGAGCTCAAATCTACCAAAATTAACGAGTCTTAACCCCTAAAGATCGCTGATTCCACGAGTCTCAACCCGAAACCGGATCAAATAAGCTAAAAGATCAGTCAATTCACAGTCCTCACGCCTAAAGATCCAAACGTAATTAACAATGAGCATTCAACAAAAAGAGGGGGGGGGGGGGGGGGGGGAATAGAAGGAATTTCCACAGCTCAAAGCAAGAGCGCAGGAAGCTCAAATCTACTAAATCTAGGGTAAGAAGACCGCAGATCTGAAGCTCACCAGCTGAATCGGGGGCGCAGTCGAAACCCTAGCTCCAAGCTCCACCCGACCCCCGACAAACCCTAACCCTAATCCCCAAAAAAGAAGAGAAAGAAACTAAAAAAGAAAAAAAAAATAAAATGTTTTAAAAAAAAGAGAGAAAGAAATGAGAGGGGTGGGAGGTGTTGGAAAAACGAGGGCGTGCAGGTTTTATGGCGGAGAAAAGCATGCAGAATGGAAAGCAGAGATGGTGGGTCCCACCTACCTCACCAAACCACAACAAAAAGTAAAGGTGACAGCTATTTATAGAGACCTGAAATTAGGACTCATCAATAATGACTTGGGAAAAAAAAAATTAGTGTAGAGCGCGTCCCTTATCCACAGAAAAGGAAATTATTATTCAATCACCACAAGTTCTACCAGCCTATGGGTACTCTATAAAAAAATCATAATTTAAATTTAAAAATAAAATAGTCAAGTGAAATTAAAATGTCTTAGGGGAAAAAAATAGTAACTAATTACAAGATTCAACCGGTTATCAGATCGGAATAATTTGTAGAGCGATGTGATGATAATATTAATGCGTAGGATGAGGATGAATCCGTTCGGTCCAATTCGACCAAATTCGGTAAAGTTTGTACTTCTTTTGTATCCATAATCATCATTCTCGTTAGGCTAGATTTTGGATTTGCGTTTTTCGTGGGTGCTTCTAACAAGAGATATTTATGAAAGGACGAACGAAATGCGTCTGTGAAGAGGGATTGTCATATCAAAGTTTTGAAAGAATTGTGAATGGGAGAGGGTTGCCTTACATGTCCCATTCTCGGATCCTCCTAAAAGCAG